GAATACTTAAGCATTCAAAAAGAAAAATTACGATCTTTGCTTCAAATTACGAACATTTTTGATATCAAAAAAGTTCTCTTCTACAATTTTTTGATAAAAAGGCACAGCGGCAATGATGTTTTTTATCATTAACAGATAGTTACAGGTGGATAGCCCTTGTCAATAATAACAATAATTTGTCAAACTGTGACTTACTCTGAATTTCCTTTCACGAATTTGCGGATATGCGATTAGTTCAGGGGAAATGCTACAGTAACATGGCAGAAGCTGAAAGAACTCACGCCAACAAAGGGCTAGGAGAGTGGCTCCAGGAAGATAGTGGACGACAATTGATGTTCGGGTTCCAGGCACAGAGGAACAAATATTGGACATAATCGAATCAGGGCCTTGCAGGGGTACTCAGAGCACAATAACTGACACTTTACGAAGCACCAAATAAATACCGAGGAAGGGCTACGTTCCTACCACGTTTGTACGATACACTCAGCACAAGGAGATACAAATGGAGCAGGAGTTAATTAACTGAATACGAGAAGCTGCTTGATGAGAATGGATAATAAAGAGATTACACAGGCACTAGCTTGTTTGGAGTTAACCATTCAAATTTTTGGTGTTGTATGGTTTATTTTTAAACACCGATATTCGAGGTTATGCGAGCAGGTTGACATTTCGTCAACAAATATTGTTGAATTTACCGTTTATCCTTGTCTATCTTATTGTCAGTCTGTATAATTCCATAGTTACCGGAGTTTTAAATAATTACGAAGCATTTGCGCAATGTTAATTAGCCAGATTACCTTGAAAAACATTGCTGCCGTATTTCTGATATAGTGTTTCGCAAATTTCAGTTTTTAATGACAATTAATTTCTTGTACTATTTTTTCTGTACTCCTATAACAGCGCCAGACAACACATCCAGAGGAATGACGCCAATTTTGAATCACCCTGTATTTGGATTTTTTCCATATTTGGGCAAAGTCTGTTTACCCCTGAATTTACGGTACCTATTTCTGAGTCACCCTGTATATGGGGATGAACAGGCCACCTTTTGACAGACGGGCCTGAGAAAGAATCGGAAGCCGATTTTGGGACGTTTCGTGACAACTGCGTCGAAAATGCTTGCAAACAATATAAAAGAACAACAGACGACTTGAGTACAGCAGTAGTTCTCGTATCTGTTTGGAACAGCGGAGATGGTCCTCTGTTGATTGCAATTGTTATGCGCAGGACAGCTGAATCGCACGCAGCAAATTTTCCATTTTCAGCTGCTCTCTAAGCCATAACTCTGATTAACTGGAAGATTTTCAACTGTGGATACCCCCGCATGTGTCTGGCGATGTCGTCGAAGGAATCGCTTTTCTTTTTGCTCGCACCCGATACAATGAACCATCCATCCATCCATCCAGCTCACCCCGTGTCACAATCAGCTGATTTCTTTGTTTGGGCCAAGAAATGCCCTCGGGAAGGCCGTGGCAGCTACTGACACCACTTGAACCCTGTTCCAACTACTACCAAACGGGCCTCGCATCCTCGCCAACCCAACTGAGTACCCGAAAGACAGTCGCAACGCACCTTGAAAGTTCTCACCTTTGTAGTGGACACGGAGATTGCTTTGGGACAGTCCGATGTAGCCGTACTTCTCCTTGGGGCTCCAGGCGCGTGGCAACGGCGTCTTTTCCTCGTCTACTGCTGGATAGAGGCGATTCAAACGGTCTCCTGACTCAATCTGTACCCCATTCGACTCCATCACGTCTCGACCACTACTCACAATCGCCATTTCTGAACTCGACGAGACGTCACTGGTCCGTCTGCTCAAAATCAGCTTGTTCGACGCTGCCGGATTGAGCGCTGGCTTTATTGCTAGTCAATAAGACCGTGGATCAATAGGTCTGGAAACGTGGACTGCAGGATTTTCGGCAAATGTGCTCACCGTTAACAACAGCTGCCAGTCTGTTTGCCTTGCAAACTCAGTTGAAGCGCAGTTTGCCAACAAATACGCACCAGTAGCTTTGCGTTGACAGCAGGAAAATAGCAAGTGCGTGGCAATGCGGCCTGCACACAACTGCTAAACAGAGTGCTGCATTGGTAGCCCGTAGTTGGCAGAGGAGCAAAAGAGGACGCTGTATCTATCTATATATTTCACTTATTAACTAAAACGGGTTCACTGATTACACTGAGCATTTTCAGTGATCCCTTAATTATGCGACTTTTTACATACTCAAATCGGAATGAACACAGTGGCAAAAATAAAGCTATAATACAAAATAATTTTACAAACAAATATTTAAAGTTTGGGTTTCTTTGGTAAGGAACCAAATGCGGAAATAACCGTGCTCTTGGTTCCTGTCGCCGAACTGGTTAGTGTGGGCGGCGCCACTAGCCCCGGTTGGTTCAATTTGATCGCTCCTCCGCCTGGCATGTCCCATTTGCTCTTGCGCTTGTTCTTGTTGTCCTCGGCCTTCTTCGAGACCAGGTCCAGTTTGGATCTGCGCGCTTTCTCCCGCCTCTCCATGTCGGCCCTTTGCACATCCGACAACTCCTCGTAGTAGGACTCCTTGGACCATTTCAAAGGGTCGTATATGGTGGGAGGATAGTTGGTGCCTAGTTCGTTCAGCTCGCAAAATTGGATCAGTTTCTCATAGATGCTGGGATTCCGGAAATCCTTTCGCTTCTGGATCACCGCGTTCATGTCCATTTGTTGGGTTTGCATTTTCTCGTACAGTTTGGCCAGTTTGTCTTGCAGGTCGGCCGAGCAGCTGCCTGGCGGTTCTCCTGGTATCAGCATGTCTTCATCGTCAGCCTAGAAAATCATTTGATTAAATTCACATTCACCAACACCACTATTGTCTGTCTTACATTGATCACCGGTTCTTGTAGTTTGTCCTTATCGTTCTCCACCACTTTTTCCTGGAGTGGCTCGTCTTCAATTTCCACCTCGTCGTCGGAGGCAATGGTGTCGTCATGATAGGACACCAGCTTGGCCACTCTGGTAGTGGGCACGCTGGGGCTGCTGGGGATCGAACTGGGGGCGCTTCGGCTTCCCGACACCGAATCGGGGGGCGACTGCGAGTCAGTGTTTTCCACGTTGTTTTCCCTCTCGTCCTCTTCGCCTTCAGAGTCCGTGTAAGTGGCGGTCAACGAAGCCAAGGCAGACGTAGACATTTTCACACTTTAAATGCACTAAAAGCAGCTAAAAGTCTTCCAACAATCGACCAACGTTTGTAGCACGTTTGTAGTGTATCTATGCAGCAAAACATTGCGACTTTTGACTGCACTTCATTCAGTTGTCGCTCCAACTGTCAAATGATCGCGCTGTTGCCCATTTGGCCATGTTTCATGAAGGCCGGTATTTTATTCATTTGCATTAAATTTCAGATGGAACTTTTTCAATTAGATATTGATTGATGGGATTTTAGCCAGTTGAACTAAAAATTATTTTACTCTGCATCGCTGCTATTTAATTCAGGACTGTAATATATTCGCATAGTCAAGCCTAAGCCTATCAGACTCCTCGCCGCGTTGTCACAGCAAATCATTAGTGACGTTCAATGCTCATTGTACACAAACCCATCTTTCAACCTACACACGTATACAGTTTGTTGACCGAATTGTTGAATATTTCTTTGGGGGTTTTTAGAAAAACCAATGCTTTTCAGCCATGTTATCGTTGTTGTATAAGTCTACGTATGTGTTTGTCGTTATTTATTATGCCATAGTACCGCTGGGATACCTAACCAAGTAAGTGTCGGTAAGTTCTTTTTTGTATCAGTTTCAGCCCTTAATCGCCTACTTTTGAATACTCAATTGTACACATTGCACAGATGCGTTTGTGGCAACAGGCCCTTAGATAAATGACGCGACTTTGCCCTTTCATTGGGTTGAGGGTTTGTGCTCCTTATAATAGTCTTCATTGAGAGCAATTCTTGTGAAACTTAGCGAAATTCTCAAGGTTAAAAGATGCGCGCCACTTACCTAATTCATGTATAAATTAGTAAACTGTGGCTTTTCAAATGATTCACACCACACGTTTCGTGGCAACCTTTGATTAAATGTTTACACTTGCACCATCCGTCTGTATAATAAACATGGCCTGCGAGTTTTAAATATAGATAAATCCGCGTTTCCACGGCTTTTTTTTGCGAATTAATCGGCCCTCAATTGTGGGTGCGCTACGTGGTAACGTGAGGTTTCTGTTAAATGGAAGTAGTTTTTTTTTAATCTGGAAATAAAAGTGATTGTTTTATATTAAAAAGTCCTGTAAAGGTCAGTTGCTTTACTGCTTACAAACTAACCGAATGTATTCTTACTTAGTAATCTTAACACCTAATCTGATCAATAACGGCGCACTGAACTATAGAACACGCACCAGCCGATTAAACTTACTTCAATGCTCGCCCCTTTCACTGAACCACTCGGAACTTTGAATGATAAGTGCTGTTTTTAATTTACTTAACAGCAGAATCGGACTCAGCTTCAGTTTTTGAGATGCTTTATTGTTTCCCAGCGAAGGTTTTGAATCATCTAGATGATAACCCGCGGGATTAGAAGCTCCACTAGTCCCACTCTGGGCCCAAAGCCATCTAAGCTGATAAGCCCTCTCGATGGCGACCATGTAAAAGTAGCGTGAATTGATCTGTAATTGCGTTGAACGCCGATCGTTTAGCAGGGCTCAAGTGGTGCTGGCGATAAGATGGAATAAAATCGGTTTTTAATGTTTTTCCATAGCACTTGAAACGGTCGCACTTAATTTTCAAATAGCGATTTCTGTTATCAGCGCATAAACAAATGATTAAATGTATATTACGTTGACAGTGCCAGGAATATTTGCTCATTGGCGAGTAAAGTTCCAGCTAGACTAGAATTGCACACGTAGCAATTTTGTTTTCTGGTAAGAGTTTTTCTATATAAGCCCATACAGCTGCCGGCCGTTTTCATATTAGAGGGCCTGAAAAAAGTGAACTTTTCTCACCCGTCCAGTTTGAGGCAAAGTTTCGAATAGAGCAACGTGTCCGCCTTAGCATACATCTGCTGATTAAAAGTTAGAATCCGCTCATAATGACTGAAAACCGTGCAAGAAGGTTCCTTTTATTATATTTCCCTAATGAGGCCCAATTGACTCTCATCATACAAATGAAATTTTTTAATCACTAAGCCCAAATACATAGTAAACAATGCAAAAATGCCCATAGGTGGTGGGTATCCGATACTGATGAAAAGATGAAGGGAAATAGCACGATCTTGGTGACTGGCGGTGCCGGTTATGTGGGCTCGCATACTGTCGTAGAACTGCTTAAGAACAATTACTCAGTGATCGCTATAGGTCAGTAGCTAGGACGCAAACCGATGGCTTTGAAACAACGAATATGCATTTTCAGACAATATGGTTAACTGCTACGCTAAGGCGAACGACAAGCCCGAGGCGCTCAAAAGAGTCGAGCAGATCACCGGTGAAACGGTCACCTTCTATAATGTGGACATTCGCGACAGAGATGCTCTGGACAGAATATTCAAAGCGGTAAATACTGGCGCTCTCTCGCCGATACAAGAGTGCAAGTTGTTGGCCATTTTCAGCACAAAATCGACTCGGTTATCCACTTTGCGGCCCTAAAGGCCGTGGGGGAGTCCGTCAAAGTGCCCCTGATGTACTACCAGAACAACATTGGCGGCTCAGGCACTCTCTTTGAGGTAGTACCGCCCCAGTTTGCCAAAAATCCGCCCTCCCGCCACGAGGTGTTTTAGGTGATGTCGAAAAACGGCGTGAAAAAGCTGGTGTTTTCGTCCTCGGCCACCGTCTACGGAACGCCCCAATTCCTGCCAATCACCGAAGAGCATCCGACCGGGCAAGGATGCACCAATCCGTACGGCAAAACCAAATACTTTGTGGAGGAGATCTTGAAGGATCTTTGCACAAGTGACCCAGTAAGTTTAGGTCTGATCGCCCAAGCCTGTAGCTGGACCTAAACGGCAACGGCCAAACAACTTTGCAGGAATGGAAGGTGATTTTGCTGCGCTACTTCAACCCGGTAGGGGCGCACGAGTCTGGATTGATCGGCGAAGACCCGTCGGGGATTCCTAATAATCTGATGCCCTACATTGCGCAGGTAACCGGGTGCCATCAGTGGGCCACTGCTTCTCTATAAAGCTATTCCTTATAGGTGGCTGTGGGTCGCAGAGACAAATTGCACGTATTTGGCAACGATTATCCCACGCACGACGGAACGGGGGTTCGGGACTACATCCACATTACCGACCTGGCCATCGGGCACTTGAAGGCTTTGGAAAAAATGATGCAACCCACCTTCAGCTCTTGGACGGCCTACAATCTGGGAACAGGCAAGTGCTGTTCGCTTTTCCAGCCTCTTCAATGATCCGCGTTTTCGCTGCAGGCCGCGGCTATTCAGTGCTTGACGTGCTGAAGGCCTTTGAAAAGGCCTCGGGCAAGCCAATACAGTACGAGCTGGAAGGCCGTCGAGAGGGCGACATTGCCGAGTGCTACGCCGACGCATCGCTGGCCAGGACGGAGTTGAACTGGACAGCCACGCGGGACATCTTCCTCATGTGCCAGGACACTTGGAACTGGCAGCAGAAGAACCCGAAAGGCTTCCAAAGCCCCTAGGATAACTGCTATTGCTCATATACATACAGAGGGTGGAGGTGGTGTTCAAGCCAAGCCCAGTGCGTTGAAAATCATCTTCTGGCCATCGTCAAAGTGACCGGAGTTCGCTTCGACGATGTTTAGGGAGGGTAGGGTTCATTTAATCGTAAGCATTTAAACCGTTCTCGGGCATGTGATGTAAAGCATTTATCTTTCCTCAGGTGCTATGTATTAATCCCCCGGTTTGTACATAACTGTTTCAATTTAATTTATTGGGCCTTATTGTATATATTAGTCGTATTCATTTATTGCTTCCTTTTGGACAATGAATTGATCAAACACTAGAATCAGAAATTTTTTTACCCGAATACCTGCTCTGGGATATTTTGTTCAACATCGCATTTTGAGGCACAGCGATCCAAGGAGCTGCTGGTTTTTTAAATAATCATTTAGACAAAATAACGCAAATTGCCTTCATACTAAAAAACTCCATATATTATCTGTCTATTCCACCTCGTCCTCTGTCTGTTGCTCCTTCTTTGGCGGCCTGGTCTGCTTGCACTCTGGATATTTATCGGCTAAAAAGCTTCTCACTTCCCCGTACTCAGCAATGAGGTTCTTCCGAACCTCCGGTTGGTTTCGCAGTTTTTCCTGCTTCACCACGTATGTGTAGTAACTGGGCAGCTTGGTGTAGAAAGGCGCGTACTTCTTCTTCTGTAGAATCACTTTACCTGAAACGGCCCACTGTGAGTTTCTGTGAAAGCCAGGCAAGCGACTGGCCGATCATACCTTGGAAGCAGTACCGGTTAAAGTCCAGGATCTCGTCCTTGGAAATGTCTTCAGCTTTCTTGCACTCGCTAGGCGACGCCACCACTTTCGGAAAGTAGTTGTTTTCCTTACAGAACTGGACCAGGTGGAGGCCCTTTTCCTCTGCCATCTCCTCGGGACTTTTCTGCAAACCATTATTTTAGCTACAGCTCTGCCAAATAAACAAGGTAAACTACCTGTCTAATCAGCCCCAAAAAGAAGGCCTTGACCACACAGTTTACGTTGGTGGAACCTTCCACCTTGGCGTATAAGTTTTTGATACCGATAACTTCGCAGATGGTCTTGATCGCTCTGTGGCACCTCAGACCGTAGCCCTCGGGCTTTTGCCAGACGTAGATTTTTGTCGCTCCGAATTGCGTGAAGAAGTTGTGACACACTTAAATAGTCGGATCTTGATCAGTAACTTTAAATGGGGCGCTGTGAACTAACCTGTATGATTCTCAAACAAGCGGATATGCATTAGCTTTTGCGCAGAGCGGTTCTTGGCTTTTCTGAGAGCCACGCGGCCCTCCAAGGCCTTCCCCATGGCAAATCCGCCCAGCCCCTGTTTATTGCCGGTAACAACAAAAGCAGACAAACGCCGCTTTCTGCCGAAATTGCCTTTCATGATAACGATTGTCTTCAGGGCCAAGACCCGCGTGTCAAAGTCCGTGAATGTCTCTAAAAAGCGCCCCATACTATAAGTGCTGCTATTGACACATTCGGAAGCTTACCATCGCCGATTGGATCAGGAGGTCCCAGACTTCTACCCGGCATCTTGCTGCCGGACCAGCCCCTCTCCAAAGGAGTCAGTTTGGCAAACTTACGAAAACCCATCGTGTTTCTAAGCGCTATTAGCTTTTGCTCTCTGTCGGGGTCTTCCGGCAGTTGCACCTGCTCCACCAGCTCCTTGCCTCGGATTATGGGGGCAGACAGCCCTGGCCATACAATGTTGGCCTTACCTGAAAGCCGGGTACTCTGAGGCTTGACCAATTCCCACCCAAGCCTGCATAGACTTACCAACTCCGATGATTTGGCCCTTGTTTAGGTCCTTGATATTTTTCTTGGACACAGTTTTGGCTCGGCCCCTTTTCTTGCCCGCATTGCTCACCGTCGTTATACTTTCCCACAGATGTGAAGCGGGTACTAGAATTGCAAAACCACCCCATTTGAGGCGCACTTAACCAAATGATTCGGCTCTTACATTTGTTGAAGAAGTTAGTGTTTAGGACTGCACTGGTGGTCAGCAGGCGGGCCTGTGCTAATGTGTCTGGCCGCGTCAATAAGGGCGCCGGCCCATACTTTCGAATGG